AGTAAGGGAAAGTACGGAGTGTGGAATGAAGATGAAGGCAAAGGAGAGGATAAGAAAAGCTCAAGAGTGAGTCTGTCCTTGACGACAGAGAGGACGCACATTGTAAGGATGAGGTGGGTGAGCACATGGAAGACCTAGCTGAGCGTTATCAGCACAACAATTGCCACGACGGCTGGCATTGAGCATGCCCACCATACACTCCCGACAAATGGCATATCGATTGCAGGCCAAAATGAAGGAAGAACGCTCACCACAGAGGAAAATGGAGTGGGACCCAGGCTCGGCAACACTCAGAGCGCAGTGAAATTCAGGGTCGGCAAAGACAGGCTCGGAGGTTCTACTGGTTTAACTAATCTATAATATTTCTATATTGTTCTCTCAATATACCTCCCACTACCTACCTACCTACCTATATGTTGTTCTCTCAGCATGGAGCGCTTAAGCGTTATGGGCTTGATTCTGGTCCCTACTCTATGCTGGGAGAAGCACCCCCGCTCCTAACACCTGGCGCGAGCTGGAAAGCGGACCGCTTACTTCCACAACCAGGCAGGAGGCCCAAGCCAGTGACTTCCGCTGGTGAACCCGATTTTCCCTTTCTTTTTTTTCTTTTTTTTCTTTTTTTCTTTATTTCTGGGTTAAGCCGACGTCCGGCCCAGACGGACCGGGCCAGACGAACGGGGGGGGGTCCTTCCAGCAAAACCAGACGAGCCAAAAAACATCCCAGGAATTTTTTTATTTTTTTTTGAAGATGGGGTTGGAGTGCGCTCACTGAGAGGAGCCCGAATCCGCAGAGAAACTTGTGAAAGTCATGTGCGGTGTGTGTGTGTGGGGGGCAGGGGGGGAGTGTTCAGACAGCGAACTGTCGGGATCGGAAGGGCGGAATCCCTGTCTCTTATACACATCTAGATGTGTATAAGAGACAGTGTGAAAGTCATGTGCGGTGTGTGTGTGTGCTGTCTCTTATACACATCTAGATGTGTATAAGAGACAGATCAAGAACATGTTCCTACTTCTTGGCTAATGCACAGCATTGTTTCTACTTCTTGGCTAATGTACAGAAATGTTTCTACTGCTTGGCTACTGC